TAATGCAGCACTAGCAAACAGTCACATGCCTCAGACAAATGCCTCGAGTGTCATCACAACTTCTGTGCTTGTTGCACTTCAGGCTCGTCATCTGCATCATCACTGACAACACAAGCCACGCTCAAGCACTAATGCTGCACTTGAAAACAATCGCATGCCTCAGACAAATGCCTCGAAGGTCATCACAACTTCTGTGCATGCTGCACTTCAGGCTCGTCATCTGTATCATCACTGAAAACACAAGCTACGCGCAAACAGTCACATGCCTCAGACAAATGCCTCGAATGTCATCAAAACGTCTGTGCATGTTGCACTTCAGGCTCGTCATCTGTATCATCACCGGAAGCACGGGCCACGCTCAAGCATAGATTGTGGCATACGTGCAGCACTAGCAAACAGTCAGACAAATGCCTCGGATTTCATCACATGCACGTTGCTCTTCAGGCTTGTCGTCTGTATGATTGCTCAAAGAATGATCATGGTCCATTTCAACAATCACTTCTAACTTCAGCTCAGCATTGGTTCAATACAAAGTGTGTGGGTGCATAGATGCCAACGACTGGATTCGTTTGGATAGTCTTGCTACCTACTTGAACCCGCACATTAATGTCACCCCGTTGCGCCTGTTCGTGCTGACCTTCGTAAAGCTGTCTCTGCGCCAAAAGATAGATGTGAAAGGCCTCAACTGAGCTCAACGGTCACCCGCTGTTGCCAATTCTCGCATGTCTCTCACAGCATCCCAGCCTCACACCCTCTCCAAGGGCTTTCCAGCGCCCGGTCGCTAGATACGCTCTGATCCTGGCCACGGCACAACTGCTAGGTTGTGCTCTAGGAATCCTACAGGATGCTCTCAATGTTTCTGCCTTCCGTGCCAAGCACAAGTGTACTGAACAAAATCAATAGCTTGTGTGGAGTGCTGTGCGCACCCTCGGGGAGATGTGCATATATGTCGCAAGAATTTATACAGTCACAACACATCTGAATTGTATTTTACATGAAGACATGCGCAGTTCTAATTCTCGCGTCACATCGGCTGCGTTTGGGTACACGGTCCTCCGCCCAATTGGTGTTTTAGATACGCATTGTGAACAAGAATATCAGCCTGCTGAGACCGTTGGTTTCCGCCTGGGTCACAAGCGACTGCAAAGTCTGTGCCGTTGTCATTGTACCCTGTGTAGCACCTCGCACAAAAGACTGGATTCACACAACTGTTTCGATCGTTTTATGTCCTGGAAAACGACTGCACTTGCTACACAAGCCACAGATCAACTGAGATTGATAGAAAGCAGAGATCCTGGTGCTTCCAGCCTGTCATCTGAGCATCGAGTGTCTTGTTTTTAAACCTTGCAGGAACTTTTGGGAAGTTAAATAAGGAAGTCAGCTTGAAGCTCATCCAATACACAAGCAGCCAGAAACGGAAATACAACCTGCTGGCTGCCACGTACGTCATGGCCTGTGCTTTGCATTGCTTCTATTGAAACGGGCTCGTCCAAGCTCTACACTTCTCCACTTCTAATGCGGCCAACAGGTATAGCCTCTGCAACAGGGGAGTAGCCACTTCTGATGAGCGCAAAACTTTATTGCACATGTCACATGTATTTTCAATTAGACGGGCAACAAAAGTGCATCTATATATATAGAGAGAGAGAGGGAGAGATAAACAAGTTTGAATCGTCCAGGTCCGATCCTTTTTGAACGCAGAGGCATCAAAGTTTTGCGTTTTGACCCAACAAGACTGGTGCAAATAAGGCACCTCTTGATGCGATCTGGATGCCGCTGCGCACCACCTGAAGGCAGGCCATAGTTACATGAGGCCCGACACGATTCTGTATTCATTTCAGTCAGCCAAGCGCCCCTTTTCTATGCCCAGGAGTCAAAGGTCTCTTGCAAAAGTCTGCTCAGCTGAGGTTGCTTTGCGATGTCGTTGTGCCCACATGGGAAACTGTGCAGCCTCACAATATCAAGGCAACATATCAAGGCAACAAAAGTTACAGTACCAAGTATTGATGGAGCACGCTTCCTGCATAAAAGGTTGCGAAACGGCAAGAGGTCCGCCATTGCGAGCAAACAGCAAGCTCCGCATTAAGTAGCTGTCCAGAGAGTTCACAGCGGGTTGGATAGGTTGCAGGCAAAAAAACACAGTATCTATATGCATTATGAACAGATTTGTGTGAATATATATGTATATATATATATATTATTTATGGTACACCCAAATTATACCAGCGTTGACCCCAAGAAGTTTGCTTGGTCCAAGTCCAAACTCATTTTGTGAATTGGTATTGGCAATGTAGGCGTCAGGCACCAAATCATTGCCACGGCGTCTGATTTTGTGAACAACACCAGCAATCCCTTGCTGAATGTTTAAAGACACAGTCCACCAAAAGTTGTGTCGGCGCCTAGGCCTCTTCGCCGTTCAAAAAGGGCACCCCCAAGCAATTCAAAGCTTGCTCGCTGCATTCGGTTCTCTTTCCTGCCCCCAACAGACCGCATCTCGCACCCCATATGGGGTGCCCCTTTGCGTATGGTTGACAGGCATCTTTACCATTCAAAAAGGGCACCCCCAAGCAACGCCCAGATTTCTTGCAAGCCTTGTTTTTCCTACCCATCCTCCTGCGCTATGCCTGTCTTCCACCTAGCCCACAGCATTCTGTTCCCTCTCCTGCCCGCACAGATCACACACTATCTTAAGAGACGCACACCTTCCGGACACCCCTGGTCGAACACGAAGACAGTGGCCACCAACCGCACATCTCCCTTTCTTGGAAGAGTTCCAACCACTTTTCGCGCCCCGTTGTCCCCTCTTGCCTATCGTCGACATGAACTCCCACCCCTGGTAGATAGAAGACGGTTTACATTGCCTCCTGGGCCCCTCATGATGCTAATGATGCACGACTGGCCGTCAATTACACCACTTGCATCACAACACCCCAAAAGCCATACACGTTCAATCCCTTTCGAGTCCTCCCTTTTTTCGTTCTCCCCCACCAGGCTCTGGGCTCGCCCTCCGAATTTGACCCGTGTGCGAACACCCCCCCGCACACACACACACCCTTTACTCACTTCGTTCGCCCAACCCAACTCCAGCCTAGCCTATCGGCTGGCTTTTGTGATATATGCCGGGCTACCATATCAATACATATAATGTACTGTGTATGTGTGTATATATATATATATATTCATTTAATATAATGTGGCATGTTTGGGGGGCGGTGAGTCATTGCAAACATTTGCAAACGGTTCCTGTGGCAAAAGATACTATTCCAAGTAGTACCTGGATCCAAGGTTCAAAGGTTCAACATGTCTAGAAAGCACTCCAATGCTCACAAAATAGGCAGGAAAAGAAGACTTTTCAGGGGTGATATAGATATATATATATATGTGTGTTGTATATCTATATATATATATATGTGGAAACAGCAGACCGCCTCAAACCCTCGCGCACTTTCCTGGCATGGCGACGGAAAAGCCTGTCTAAGCAGAGGTAAACCTACGGCCCCTGTGGTTTGGGCCAGGATGCCGTACAAGGATTGGTATCAAGGATGGTTGGCTCAACGTTGCACGTTTCACAGTCCCCGCAATTCTGTTTGGTCCCAATCCGCCTGATTTCCGAACTGGACTGCCCGGAGCTGCGTGCCTGCGCACGTCTTCGCATCTGTTCTTCAGTTGGGCGGATGCTGAAATGTCCGGTTCGAATCAGGTCGTACAAAGCGGCACACGATCCTAGGACCTTGGTCAGTCCATCGGCCGGCATGGCCAAATGATCTACCCATTTCACTTCGCCCCCAAGCTCCCTGAAGTCTTGGCGGATGATCTGGATCTCGATGGCGGTCCGCCGGTCTTGGCCTCCCACGCTGTCCTTAGACAGGCGGTCGTACAGTGACTTTGCGTCCACCACGGCCAAAGACAGCACCAGGTGTCCTCCCTGCGAGTGAAATCCGCAGTTGGCAAAGGAGGCATCACTCACGACGCTCAACTTCATCTTCTCCAGAGGTTGGATCTGGAGGCTCATAGTGGAGTTCTTCTTGAGCTCATCCACCACCTGGTTGAGTTGGACGATGTCCTCGATGGTGAGCTTGGACAGCTTCGAAGATAACAGGCTGGATGGTCCGGCAGCGTCTGGTCGTCCCTCTCGGCTCAACCAATTCAATGCCCCACACGTGGCACGAGCGGCACTCACTTCCTCTTCGGTCGCGGCTGCCTTCCTGTCTGTCTTCCGCCCCTTCTCCAAAGGGACATGGTGGAGTCGTTCCTCGATGAACTTCTGCATGTCCACCAAGTAGCCCCCATCAGGTAGTTGTCGGATTCGACGACCATTGAAGGCGCAGCCATCTTTCTCCTTTATGAGGTGAACATACTTGCCGAAGGTGTACTTGGCGCGAAGCTCGCGTGGTGTTCTTGATGCCCTACGGTGAACAAATCATCCACTTCGATGGCTATCGCCCCGAGCAACTTCTTCCGGCTGCGATCATAGAGCTTCATGATGCATGGGTCCAGCGCCGACATCTCGTAGCCAAGGTTCTTGAGGTCCTCGGTTAAGTGCAGCGGGGCATCCACCAATCCATAGCAGCCGGCCATGATCATCACTATCTGTTCCGGGTGCAACCCGATCACTCCCTCCTTCGGCTGTTGGAAGTAGAGTCTTCCTTTTGGTCGTTCGAGCGGTTGGCTTTGGCAGAATGCGTTCTTCAAATCGCCCACCGTGGCCTTCATCCCCTCATTTGCCGCTATCTGCAGGAGCACGCTGAAGTTCACCGTGTTGAGCGTAGGCGAAAACCTCTCCAGGTCCAGGATGTCTGGGTCCAAGTCGCCCCGAATGCACAATCGCGACTTCTTCACTGCCGGTTCCCCTGGTTGTTCTCCTGGCTTGTATCGCCTGGCGATCTTGGTAGGCAGGATGCGGTCCTCTTGGCCTTGACTCCTCAACTCTTGGCGCACCTGTCTCGAAGTCTCCAGGTCCAGTACTTGCACCGCTCCACTCTGAGTGACTTTGTTCCACTCGGAGAGGTCAGACAGCTTCCATTCTTCTTGGTCTTGAGGGCTTTCTCGGGCCAGGCTGACTTCGTCTTGCCCTTTCTTTTCCCCAACGTAGTTCCGAGCCTCCTCGACATTCTTGATGTAGAAGATGGTCTTGCCTTTCCATCGTTTCTCTTCGTGCTTGGTGATTGGCTCGGTCCACGAGTCCTCCTCGATCTTCTCGGAATTCTCCCTTCTCACATGCGTCTTGCGGTTCTCCGTCATCAGGTTGAGGGGAATTGGCAAGTCAGCATTGAACCTTGGATCGAACTTGGCCGTCATCTTCCGTAGGTGGTGACGAGTCACCTCTCCCTTGTTCCAGTCGATGGTCCATTTGTCCTTCTCATCCGTCACCCACCGGAGATGGTGTAGCCCATGTTGGCGGATTTTGGCCTCTTCTTCGATCTGCTCCTCCTCCTCGGCTAGAAACCATTCTCGAGCATGTAGGTATGGAGCCAAATGCCCATGTTGGCCAGCTCGTTGTTGCCAGCGATAGATGGGCCCTGCGACTGGACCAGGGATTCCGTCCAGTCGATTGGCCGTCGTCTCCGACTGCCGAAGTGCTTCCCTCAGTTGTGGGTTCAAGCCGTCCAGGTTCTCTGGCTCGATGTTTGACGGCATCACCGGTGGCGTCTCTGGCACCCCTTGAGGAAAGCCTGGATGATGCTTCTTCTCGGATCTTGAGCTTTCACTTGCAGCCCTTGAAACCGGAGGTTCTTCTTGCTCAGGTTCATGGACTGACCTCCTTCGTTTGGGCAGTGCCTCTGGCGGTCCTGTAGCATCATCCTCATCCATGTACTCAGGGACGTACTCGATGGTGTCCACGGGATCCTGGAACTGGGCTCGTTGCCTGTCTGCAGCTCGTTCTCTTTCTCCGATTCCGTCATCTCCGGAACCTTCCGCTTCTTCCAGTTCCGGTGGAAACTCTTCCTCTGTGATGTCCTTGTACCCAGTTCGATGAGAACCGCGCTTGAACTCGTCGATCAGCTCTTGGCACTCTTGGACCACTGCCTCGATCCCCGTCTTTTCATCTGTAGTTGCGGGCCTGCATTGCTCCCGAGCCACCTTCCATAGTTCCCCCATCATGGAGATCCACAAATTGGCCCCATCCGGAGCGATGACTATGCCTGGGCCAACCCACCGAGCTTTGGTGGAGATTGAGGCGTCGTCGACGATGCCTCCATGTTTCCTCTTCTTCAGTCGAGGCACTCGGAAGACGAACACGTACTCGCCAGGCTTGTAGTCTGTCCAAACTCGTGGCCTTGCCCGCAGCGCTTTCTTCAGGGTGTTCTTGGCGTTCACTTCGCAAAAGGCTTTGTGGGCCTCGGTCCTCATATGATGCAGCCGCTCGATGTCATCGGTGAGCACCCCATTCAGCAAAGTTGGGTCGATCGCCTCATCGGACAGGATGGAAGTTGGCACCCTGGGCCACTGGCCAATTTGCCTCTGTATTGGGGCGAAGCCTGAACGGTTGGAATACCTGTTTTTGGCTTGTTCTACCTCGGCCATCAACTGTTTGAGGTCTTTGAAGGATTGCACCACCACTTCGCTTCGGGCTTTGTCCAAGAGCTCTTTGAAGTGCCCTCCATGTCTTTCTGTTTTCCCCTGCTGCCATGGTGCTTTCGAGGCAATCTGGTGAACAACGATTCCTTCAGCCGTTGCCCTTTGGATAAACTCTCCAAGAAACTCTCGGCCAGCATCGCAGGTGATGACTTCAGGATGTCCGAAAGTTCTGGCCCAAGTGGCCTGGTAGGCCTCCCACACTTCGAGA